GCCCCTCTTCCCCCTCCCTACCCCTCTCCCCTTTCGCCTCCCGCAGCTACTCCGCCTCTCATCCCTTTGCCCAGCTATCCGGTTCCGATAACCTGGTAGTGTTTACGACGGAGAGGTACCTGGAGCGACCTCTCATCGTGCGGGGACCAGGAGCGGGGCCGGAGGTCACGGCGGGGGGGGTCTTCGTGGACCTGCTGCAGGTAAAAATATTAAAATGACAAATATAAAATAAAGTGGCATAGTAGTAAAATAAATGAATAAAAAAAGCAGAACTAGAAGTAAAACCTGAGGAATGATAACATGCGAGGAACATGAATTTATATAGACGATGAACAGGAATGTTCCTCGTTCCTTCCCTCGTGGTCGGGTGGCTGGCCGGATGGATTGACGAATATACATACGGACGCACATGGCGCATATTTGCACGCACTCTTCCGCCGCGGGCCCCACCCTGCTGCTGCAGGTCATCCGTTCGCATCCTCGGGCCTGATGAGCCGACGTGGAGGCAGGAAGACAGAGATATGTAAGAGAGGAGAGGAGAGCAGGGATGAATTCATCCATGCGAAGGTCGAAGGGGATGGGAAGAAGGAAGGGAGGCGGATTGGATTAGTATATTGGATTAGTGCTACTGCGCAGCTAGAATCAGGTTTAGCGGATAAAGGTATAGGAGGATAAGGAGGCGGCAGGGGGGGGTCGAAGGGGAGGCGGGTCCAAATGGGGCGCACTGTTTTATATCGCGCGCGTGTGGATGCTGCTTGGCAGCTGGTGAAAAAAAGAAGCAGCGCCATTCGGTACTGGAGTTTGGCAGGAAGTTGTCAGGTTGAGGGTTATGTTGTCATGTTGAGGGGTTTGGGGGATTTGTGACGGGTGGCATGGCCGGGCGGCATGGGTGGTGAGAGGGGACTGTGGAAGGAGGGGGCCGAACTTTTCCAAAGGGTTTTGCCCTTAGTGTGATGAAGGTGCTCGCAGGTGCTGGAACGAGTACCGGGTGGTTCCCGTTAAATGGCCGGCATGGAGCCGCCGCCGTCGCGGCAAACAGTTAAAAAATTCTAGATCAGGTTTTGGGATGCTGTGGGCTCCTGTTTTTTGAGGATTAATGCTCAAAAACCAGCTATTTGTTTAAAAGTCAAAGTAGTATTAAACTTTAATACATTTGAAGTAAAAGCAGTATTATCAAACGAAATTTCTCCATGTACACCAATTTGGGGATTCAATTTAAGTTTAGGTCAATAGGAGTTTCTTCCGGAGTAATTCCTTTGAATAGCAATGGCATGGCAATTTGCGTTCCGTTTTCTTCTCGACGCAGCTGTGTAATAGCTGGCCGCTGAAAAGGCCTCTCGAGATGCTGGTCAAGCGCTTCATGTGTATTTATATTTGATGTGTGTGCCGTACTGTGTACCAGCTACTACATTCCTCCCCCTTTGAGAGGATCCGTCTCGGGCCCTTACGGCCACGTACACCACCAGCCTGTGCCTACCTTCGCCTACCCTCGGGCAGTGGGTGAACAGTCCACGTCATGTCATGTGCGGTCCACACATACACCTAGCCGTATTTACGTATTTTCAGGCACAGATTCTTCCCAGACAACCACAACTACATTTTGCCACGTTTTTCGCGCAAATGATAATCGTGTAACCCGATATCCAATTGTGGTTAGGCGTGGGGTTCGAATTGACGTCTTTAGGATGGTAATGATGTACGAGTTCTCGATGCCAATTGTAGTAACAGGCCGCTGAGAAAGCCTCTCGAGATGCTAGCGCTTCGGGCAATTTGTAGTTGAACTGTGTGCCGTACTCTGTACCAGCTCCTACAAACCGCCAACTGCCAACTGTCAGCCAGATATCATTCAAAACCCACGGAGCCTCCTAGGCTGTCTAAGTCCCAAATCTCCCACCCTCTCCTAAGGTATCCCCCGCCCGACAGCGCAACGTCCCCGAAAGCTCCCCGATCCACGCAACGTCCCGGAAGTGATACACTGACTGACTGTGATGGCTCCCACTGGCACTTAGTGGGGTGACAGGAAGGACCCAGTAACTTGATACTCTCACGCACCCAGCATGCACCAAGACACGCTTGGTCCGAAAAGGAATCATGGGGTGCGTGGTATCATTTACATGTGTGGAAGCACTCGAGCACCGGGACGGGAGCAACGACCCGCCTGGGAAGTGGGAAAAACTGTTGGGGTGGAAACGGGGGCGAGAGATGCTTGTGACCTTTTCCTGCAGCAGCCTCAGGATCCCGCCAAAAACGCATATCACATTCCACTTGATGGTCGTGAACCAGTATGGGCTATTAAGCCACCTGCCGATGGGCAGGGCATTCACATTGTAAAGAACACTTATAAATGAAACACTAAGAAGCACGGATCTTTAGGGTGAATAGGAATGTGGTAAAAGGTGTCAGCCAAATCCACTTTCACCACCCAAGGCCCATACACTGCAGGGTGCAGCGGGTTTCATACTGACACGTATTGTTCCGCCCTGCCGTGTTGCGTTACAGAAGCTAAGCCCGCCAACCGCCAGCACAGCTTGGTAGCAAAGCAACCCTCTGCGAAACCCATCACCTCCCAACACCAACCCATTGTGAAAGTTGCACTAGTGGCCGATAGTAATGACAATTACCTGTGTTGCACCGTTGAAGGTGCCCTAGGATCCCAAGGGCCCCGACAAGGGCTGAAGAGCCACCCGGGCGACCCACTCGACGCCAGCAGCGACAAAACCAGGGACCGCTGCATTGTGGCAAACCCCGGGATTGCCCGGGGTGGGTGGGGGGTACGACGAGGCACAGACGAATGACGAGAAAAGGGACATAGACGGGTACTCCAAACTTAGACCAATAATATATGACAATATGTAATATACTGACCCATGAGTGGGGGGTGGGGGAAACTAGAGGACACTGTCCCAACAGCGGGACACACCAGTGTTGCAAAAACTTTTTAACCGTGGTTACTTTTTAGTGACCAAGTGGTTACTGTGGGAGTTTTCCTTGGTAACCACCTTACAATTTTTCCCCAGCGAGTACGCTGAACAGGAGCCCCCTAGAACCATGCATCCGAAGATCCAACTTCACTTGACAACAAGCCGTCTGAGCAAGCGTTCGTCAACTTTTACTCTATGTACGGCAACGCGTTCCCGAGCCGAAGCATCACTGCTCCCATCCAAGCGTCGAAAAGCTTTTTAGGTGTTCACTACTACCGGGGGTCTGTGGCCCTCAATTTCCCGGCGACCACCTGGTTACTGGCAGGTGACTCGAAACATTCCTTAGTGACACCACCTTCTGGAAGGGAATTATTTTCTCAGTAACCACTTGGTCACTAGTAACCACTTTCAAAAGCACTGGGACACACATCTTGGTAATGGTCAAAGCAACGGCAGTTAAGGAACCAATGCCACTTGGTCACTAAAGAATTACCATCGGTGAAAAAGTTTTAAAAGCACTGGACGAGATGAAAGCGCCCGCATAGCACCACAACGGCCCTTTCTTCTGGAAAGGCCTGACCCTTGACCACTGCGAGTCCTAATTCTTTGGTCCGCTAAAAGCTATACCGACACCGTCTGTGTCGCTCTCGCTAACTCCTCATCATCAAATTGCCGCTAACACGGCGTCACTAATTAAGTGTCATGCATGTCGCTGAAAAGCAAAACCTTGAGCGCCGCTTCTAAACCTTGGAGATGAACGTGGTTACTTGGCGTGGTCAAGGGGCTACTAGCTGTTGTAGCTGCAGGAGTAGGGTCATTGGGTCCAGGAGGTGGGCGGGAGTTGTTGACCCGCTCAACCGCTCAAGAGGTAACTTGGGGCGGAAAGTGCGTCGCAGAAGCCCTCGAGGACATGTGGCCACTCTGTGATATTCCGATAAGCTAAGTAATGTAGTGTGAGTGGGCTCCACCGGCGAGGTCATGCCCAGCCGGGCACCGGGACGAGCGCCGCCACAACCATTACGAGATGTGCTTTATTTTGGTGGGCTTCCTCCTTGGTGCTAATATTGCATGTTCTCTAGCACTCCACCCGCGGGTTCACGCAGATGAGCCGAAGGCACAGCTGTGTAATAACAGAAAGAGCGCCGGATGCAGGGGACCCGTAGCGTCTATCAGCGTGGGCTGAAGAACAAAAACAAGATAAGCTTACCATCTTATCCCGCGGAATCCTCTTTAATAAAGGACGGGCCGTTGCGAAATGGAGTCTAAGGGTGCATTTCCAGTGCGGATTAAGGCCAGGGATTAACCCTCTGTCCTCCATCGATACTTGCTCAAACGGCTAAGTTGTTGGCAAACTTACCTCGCCTTTCTAACCTTTGGTTCCCTTATGGAACGAAACTATGTGGTAAGCTCGTACCAAGGACTTCCGTGCCCTAATCCCTGGCCTTAATCCGCACTGGAAATAATACACCCTAAAACGTATAAAATTATTGAGGTCCGTAAAATTCGCGCATTTTTTCTAAAATTCCTTTGATTCCCGCTTGCGGACGATTTTCCACGTACACACACACGTAACACACACACTCGTGACCGCTCGCTCGCCGGCCGACTAGTTGACCCCGGTCAGAACGGACCAAATGCCCGCACCGTCCCCGCTTTCGACAATCCTTCTGCCAATACATCTTCATAATGTCCGTCAAGCTGCTATGCAGCAGGCTCTACAGGGCGCGCACCTGCGATCCAACGCCGACATGCAATCGAGCGAGGCCAGGCTAATTGCTGAAATAGGTCTAAAACGAAAATGTCCCGTCGCGGTTTCCTATCAAAATGACACGCAATCACTACATATCTTGCGCAGTCCGTGAAGGAAGTTGGTTTCGGGGCTGTCATTGGAGATGGCAGCTTGTTGCGTCCTTGTTGGCCCGCCGATACCTTCATAGTACTCTACCAAACTGCGCCGGAGCCGAGCCACCCTGTAACCCTAATGGACATTGCGAGAGCTCAGCAAGCATCAGCCATGGAAAATCAAAACACGCTTCGCTCTGGTTAGGTCCTAAATATCATTCGAATACGTACCATGTATCGTTTATGATAAATGTAAGTAACCTGAGGTTGGCAGCTGTTTCGAACGTTTTTTACGTTTACGTTTACGTTTACAAGCTTCAAGCTTGTACGGTCCAGACGAGCCAAAAGGCTCATGAACCGCCAAACTGGAAACAGGAACTCAAAAAAGAAATAATGCTAATACCCAACAATATCAGATTGATTAATCTTCAACGTACTGCAACCTGCATCTTCTAATGTCGTCCAAGACGCGCGCTAACCCGCGTTGATCCTTGACGCCCATAATCTCGATCATGCGGTCCCCAGGAGTTTCGAACGTCCACTTGCCGCAACCATCTTTCCACAACCAACCACTGCGACTTACTTGGAGGACCGGAGACCTTTGCATTGTGCGCATGAATAGCATGTTGTTTATGAGCTGTAATTTCATGCAGTAACAGCCAAGGCAGGCTGTTTGAAAAAAGTGGCCATACTGCTGTCTGCTGTGCCGCCGCCGGTCCTGCCCCTCTGAATCTGGCTTAAGGGAAGCTGACACCCTACTTGTCGCATTTAGTTATAAGTCAATGCGTTCCGGGCGTGAAAGGTGTCGGCGGGGAGTAGGGTTGCACTCGTTCCGGGATTCACAAATTCAGCCCAAACATTCCGACACAAGCTTTGCACTTAAACGGAAGTATAATGAGTTCGATGTGTTTACAGCCTGAGAACATTGAGCGACCTCATAAGGCCTAGACAAGCCAAGAGCTCACAACATGTGAGTCACATGTCAGCCTGACGGCGATAAGCAGCTAAGCAGGAAAAGGAAATCTGCAGGATGTTCACGGATGATCTCTGGCCAATCCGCTGGGACTCAACAGCTATAGCACAGACGGAGTCTGAGAGTGCTTGGTATACTTGGACTAGCTGATATTCATGCAATAGAATAATAATGTCAAAGCTCGCTAAACCTTTGCTTTTCCTAAACTTATGCTGCGAAACCATATTCGTTATCGAGCAGAGGCTCAAGGCTACAGGCGTTTCAGCAGATAATCAGGCTAAGGTGTTAAGCGAAATGGTTGCATACGTATTCGGAGGAAAGAGCGCAGCATCCATACTCCAGCCTGACTTCCAAAAGGAAACACGGGAAGTGGTTGTTGCCATGTGCAACTGCAGCATTATGAAGCTTGACGGCTCAAGGTAAGATCGTCTCTCACTCCCTCTTCTGTGTCTCTGGCCATCCCTTATGCCTGCGCTTACAACCCCGGGAGGGACCGGGCCTGACCACAACATCTGCGTCCACCTTCCTAATTGATGGCGTTGACAAGGACTCATTTTGGCATCAATGAAGTCCTGAGCAAGTGCTCAAAGCAAACTCATGGTGGTGCTTTCGTTGCCGCCTTCAACCTTCTTTCCCGTACGGTTTCATACATGATGCAGCGACACCCACGACCACCTAACTAGGGCCACATGACGAAGTGGATAAGTGGCGGGTCCCATGAGATTGAACCCGCAGTACATTTTCCCTATGGAAATTGTGCTGTTGCCCTTTAGCAGCAAAAATGGGCTATGCGGGCCTGTGCATTCAGTAGTGTCCCGGGTAGGGTAGGGTGGGGCAGCAGGCACTCGGCCCCCAGGTCGCCAGACTCCGCGACTGTGTCAGGGGGCGGAGTCCTGTCCCTTCACCTCATTGGCCGCACCCACACCCACACCTGCGTCCACACCCACACCTGCGTCCACACCCACACCTGCGTCCACACCCACACCTGCGTCCACACCCACACCTGCGTCCACACCCACACCTGCGTCCACACCCACACCTGCGTCCACACCCACACCTGCGTCCACACCCACACCTGCGTCCACACCTGCGTCCACACCCACACCCACACCTGCGTCCACACCCACACCCACACCTGCATCCACACCCACACCCACACCTGCGTCCACACCCACACCCACACCCACACCCACACCGGCGTTCCCGTACCGCACTCGGCTGCCCCGCTGGATGGTAATTGCTGCTGCGGTGGCGGTGGCACCCCCCAATCCCACTTTCCCCTCTTCTCTCCCTCCCTCCCTCCCTCACTCCCTTCCGCCCTTGGACATCCGGAAAGGTTATAGTATTCATTCCCCCTTCCTTCTCCTCAACGCCCCTCCTTTGTTTGCCTGTTTGTTTGTCTGACAGCATGGACAAGCTATTCGACCTGGCGGTGATGATGGTCAAATACAAAATCATGTGCTCCAAGACACTGGAGCAGATTGTGGAGGTGTGGAAGTGGGCTGTCATTCTGTCGCGAGCTAGGCGGTTTTATGTTGTTGTTGTTGTTGTTGTAGTAGGATGGGAGGCTTCTGGGCCACTTGAACATATTGTCATTTCTACCATTTATCACCCTACAGCACTATCCACCATTACCACACTGTACTGCGCCATATCCGGACTTGAAGTCCAAGGCAGTTGATTCTCTCCGGAGCTCCCAGGACCCCTCCTCATCCATTCACCCGAACATCCGCAGAGACAGAGGGTTCAGCAACCGCCCCACCCATCCAGCGTGCGAATCTCGATCCATCAACTGTGACCTCAACTCCACATCTCAGCAGCTAGCCATAGTCTCCCTCTCCCGACAATGTCGGGGATCTACCCTGGAATCGAACCCAGGACTTAACACCGCAGATTGCAATAATGTCACCAGACCAGATGTGTGTGTGTGTATGCGTGTGTTGCCGTTGCAGATTTCCCTGTTGCATCTTGATCAGGTCGAGGACATCATCCGTAGGCATGTAGCAGGAGGCGGAGGAGCCGCGGCGGCGGATGTCGCCTCCACTCGGCGGCAAGTAAAGAGCATGTACGACAAACTGGGGCCGGGGGAGCTTCACCGGATACGACAGGTGCTCCTGGCGGAGCTGCAAGGCCAGCGCGTCAAGATCAGTCTCCTGCTGTCGGTGGGTGTTAGGGGGGATGAAGGGGCGAATAGGGGGGCGTACGGCTAGGACGAATGAGGGGGGAAGGCGTGGTGGGGGTGAAGGGGGGGGTAAGGGGGGAGGGCAGAGGCCACGACGGTGATGACCAATTAGTAGGTAATTCGTTGGTTCCTTAGAGGTTCGTTGGTTCCTTAGAGGTTCATTGGTTCGTTAGGGGTTCGTTGGTTCGTTAGAGGTTCGTTGTTGTCTTGGTGGTTTCTGTATTGCTGGTGGCGGTAATAGGAATAGCTTAGTGAGTTGTCCCGGCAGTGGCAGGGGGGCAAGTGGCGAACGGGCAGTGGCGGGGGGAGGGATGGAGGAGGGAAAAGGGTGGAGGGGGCGACGTGGCGCTTCAAGGCAAACAACTTGGGGATGCGAGGGAGGCAGAAGGAAGGGGAAAGGGGACTGAGAAGGGAAGGGAGGGAGGGGTACCTCCCTCGCAACACATTGGAGTTGTTCGGATCTGTCTCTCTGTCTGTCTGCCTGCCTGCCTGCCCGGAGCTGTTTGTTGCTTCCTTCAGTATTCCTCAGACCTCCTCCTCAAGCCTAAGGTCTCCCTGTTTGTTTGTATGTATGTATGTACCGTCCCATCCCTCCTGACGTGGTGTGTACCTGAAAACCGCGTGCCTATGTACGACAGGCCAATATCCAAAACACTGATGCAACCTTTAAGCTTCCCATGCCGTACAGCGCGCGCCTTGGCGTCGTGTCAGTGTACGACATGGTGTCTGGGAAAAATGAGAGCCAGACCAATCTGCCAGTGCACGATGCCCTGGTAAGTACGGAGCCTGTCGTACTGTCGTACTATGAAGATACCACGTGAAATGGAGTTACGAAGATAGGAAAGGCGGGTTGAGTGGGATGGATGGCGTCAGCGCTTTGGACCTCCTCCCCTTTTTCGAGCGGACTAGTCCCCCGCGGCCCCTCGGGGCCCCTCCAGCTGCGGGGAGGACCAGTAGCGGGTGCACTGCTGCTGTGGTCCCCCCCCCCCTCCCCCGTGGTGTGCTGGGGGTTGGGGTCGCTCTGAGACAACCTGCTGCTGCTTACCACTGCTACCCCCGTTTCCCCGGCGCCCAGCGTTTCGTCACCTTCCCACCTCCCTCCCCTCCCACCTTCCTTCTTGATGTTAGGGTGATTCGGGGTGATTTTGGTTGCCGGTGGGGTTTGCTGCCCCCTCCCGCCCCCTCCCGTCCCAACCAGAATATCACAATTGGAGCACTGCTCAGTGCCATCACCCCACTGCCATCACCCCACTGCATGTGTCCTGAGCCGTACCAACATGACGGCGCTTCCTTCCCCTCCGCACCCTGTTCCCCATCCCTGCCCTCCCGTCCAGTCTCGTCCGTACGACTTCTACGACTACAGCGCCCCGCTTGGCAGTAATATGTTCGCGGCTCCACCCCAGAAATCAGAATCCAAACATACAGACGCACACATACTGGAGAGCAGCTTCTCTGTTGCCTTTCTGGAATTGATACACGGGGGAGGGGAATGGATAAAGAGGGATTGAGACGAGGCGGGAAAGAAGGGGGGGAGAGAGGGGGAAGAGACAGAGTGGAGAGACAGAATGAGGGTTAATGGTCGCGGAGGTTAATGGGTGAGGGACGTCAACCTGTGTGTACGTATGCATGTTTATGGGAGACGATGAAGGGAAGGAGAGGGATGAAATACAGACAGACAGACAGACAGACAGGCAGAAGTGGGCCCGTAGCGGGCTGGGGTGTAACCCAGCAGTGCCGGGGCGGGGGCCTTGGCGGAGTCCTTGTGAACCCCTTGTGTCAGTCGGTCGTCATAACTATACATACATACATATATACATACACATATAAAGACATATCCTTGAGTAGGAGGGCAGAGGGATCGTGGTGGCTTTTCATGGCTTTTTCCATGGCGTAACCAAGACCGGCTTTTAATGCAGCACAGGATTTAGGGGCTGGCAATGTAGCACCACGTCATCATGTACGACGACTGGCTGTACATGGGGATGACGAGGGAGCGATGGGAATGCACCGTACGGGGTGATCCCCTCATCAGGGGTGCCGCCAACCGTCACCAACCATCACCAACCGTCACCAGTCGTTACAACAAGGAGGCGTGCCTATCTATATCAACATCTTGAAGGAGTTGGATTCGGATTCCAATTCTCCCTGGTTCCAACATGTACCAGCCAATAAGCTTCGACTTCTCGAAGCAAAGTATGAGTGTCGAGGTAGGCAAGTAGTTACTGGGAAGGAACTGCCGTGGTGCGTGGAAGTAGGGCGCATGCATGCATGTGCCGGACCACAGTACGGCAGGGGGACGCCGAGCTCCTACTTGGGCCGCACAGGCGCATTGGTTCTTTAACTGCCGTTGTTTTGGCTATTACAAGAGGTGCGTCCCGCTGCTGGGACAGTGTCATCTAGTTTCCCCCACCCCCCACCCATACATATTGTCATATATTATTGGTCTAATTTTGGAGTACCCGTCTATGTTCCTTTTCTCGTCATTCGTCTGTGCCTCGTCGTACCCCCCACCCACCCCGGGCAATCCCGGGGTTTGCCACAATGCAGCGGTCCCTGGTTTTGTCGCTGCTGGCGTCGGGTGGGTCGCCCGGGTGGCTCTTCAGCCCTTGTCGGGGCCCTCGGGATCCTAGGGCACCTTTAACGGTGCAACACAGGTAATTGTCATTACTATCGGCCACTAGTGCAACTTTCACAATGGGCTGGTGTTGGGAGGTGATGGGTTTCGCAGAGGGTTGCTTTGCTACCAAGCTGTGCCGGCGGTTGGGGGGCTTAGCTTCTGTAACGCAACACGGCAGGACTGAGCAATAACTCAGTGGCCGCAGCAGTTTAGTACCATCCGGGGCCAGATTTTAACTGATTGCGGCCGCTACCCGGCAGACCCTGCCTTCCCCGGTATTTCGGGGCACCCTCATCGAGTCACCCTAGCCAACTTCTCAGAGTGGATCGCTCAGGTTTCCCACCCACCACCGGCATCCAACGGAATCTGCCGGATCAACGGCGGCTCAACTCCATTCCTGGTCAGCTCGCAGGTTAACTTTATCCCAGGTCACCACCGTCCATCAACTAGGGGCAGTTTACCTTCCACCATCGGAAGGATTTCCGACCATAACAGGTCGCGATCCCGGGATCTCCGGGGTCCATGTATGATGTTACAGGGTGGGATCGCTTCACCAGCGGCCCCCTTTCCCGAGGCAATGCCCTTCTCTCCCCTGCTAGAGGGGCACCCTAATGCAATCACCCCATCCGACTTCAGAATGTATGTATGTATGTATGCCCGTCTGGTGACCAACCCGTTCGTTCATCCACCTCCAACAATTCAATCAATCATCATCAGCATCGTGAGGACTATTGTGAGTGGGGACGGGGGTGAATGGGGTTTGTATGTTTGGAGGGGGATAGGTGCTTCAGGGCCCCCCACTGTCCGGCTCCCTTACTGATCCGCAGGTCGCCGGGGGCTTGTGTGTGTAGTGGGTCGCTCGGCGGATGTGGGACTGGGTGGATGTGACACATCACAATTTGATAGGTAGGGGAAGGAGATGGGGAGGCCCGAACGGGCCCCTGACTAACAACCACAGACTGGCCAGCCAGCCAGCAATTCCACGTAAGACCAGTCATGGGGGCCCGCCAGCAAGATGGGGTTCACAGACAGACAGACGCGGTGGAGGGAAAATCAGTCTGTGATCACAGTCAGACAGTCAGTCGAGGGGAAGTTAGGGGCCAAGCATGCACGGGGGCAGCAGCCCTAAAGCCACACGGACCCGCATACCGCACCGCACCGGACTCACCGCTCCCAAGGAGGTGGCTGGGCTCGGGGGCCCCCTCAGTGACCCCACATACACATTCACCTCGAGCAGCAAACCCACCCACCCAGTACATAGTCCCCCCCACCACACAGCGACATTCCACCCTTACAAGCAGGGTACCAGGGGTTGCGAGGGGTTAGACACGACTTTTATGTAGTCATCTCAATGTACCACCCAACCAGCTACAACCCCCCACCAGCCACAGCCAATAATATTATATTCACACTTACGGACCGGACAAGAGGGACCGTGAGATTGCAGCGCCACCCGGGGCTGGGGCCGGGCCACCACCACCGCCATCCGGCTGAGCTACCTATGTCACGTCCAGGTCGAGGTCCAGGTCGAGGTCGAGGTCGAGGCAGCCCCCGTCCTGTAAACTGGGAAATGAAAACGTCCACTTAAAGTTGTTTTCCCAAGAACGGAATTAGAGGCCGCCCTGCCGCGTGCAAGGGGATGGCGCACATCCCTGCTGGGTGACCTGACCTGATTTGACGCGACCTGACTTGAAGCAGTCACCGTCGACAACACACACGCTCATGACTACATACATACATAGGCACACAGGCCGTTATCAGGCACAGCATCCTCCTCGCCCCCCGGCCCCCCCCAAACCCAACGTAAGCCCCCTCCGCATAAGCCCCACCAGGCGCCTCTGCAGCGCCCCGAGCCCCGCTGCACAGGACAGTCGGTGGTCACCATCAGACACCAAATCCAGCTGCAACTGCAACTCCAGGGAAGGGAATGAGGAGGGCGAGGAGGAGGAGGAGGAGGGCGAGGAGGCAGTGCAACCCCATGCATACTGTGACCAGCGCGATGATGAGGGGGGAGCTTCCGCATTCTCTTCATGGCCTACTACGACGGCATTGGTGCTGGTATTGGCGTTGGCGGCCGCAGCAGGACCAGGTGCGGTAGTGGCGACGGCATTATTAGTGCTGGCGGAGAGGGTGGCAGCTGCGGCAAGTTCATTGTGGCGGTTGAGAACTGCCAGCAGCGCCTCCACAAGCTCCCTGGGAACCACCTCGTCATTGCTGCCGTGCAGGATCACTATCGGAACATCAGCCGGCGCAAATCCGTTGATACCACCAACACCAACACCACTATCACCATGATCTCCATCATCATGACCTCTAGCACCATCATCATTGATACCACCAACACCAACACCGTGTTCACCAAATCTGCTGTGGAGACAGCAATCAAGTGGTGGTGATCGCAGAAATACGGCTTCTGTGGCTTCTGCCCTAACGGTTGCTGTTGCTGTTGCTGCGGATGAGGATGCAGCTGCTTGCAGCGCCTGCTGCTGCCGAGGAGCTCCAAGAGGCTGATGACGCGGTGTCAGCGGGGATGAGCCCAGCTGTCGTTGCCGCCGCTGCAGCGGCCCCGGCAGGTAGGACTCACCAGGCTTCAGTGACTCGTCACGCACCCACGACGGGCAAAGCACCAGGTTGCGCCTGCCCTGGCTAAAGTACGACACACCGACGGTGTCGCCGCCGTCCATTTCGTACGGCGACCCCAGAGAGACCTGGGCGCCGTCGTGCAGTACGCCGTGCTGTTGGTCTTCCTTGAGAGCGGCCCAGTGAAGTTCGGAAATGTCGATTGCTGGGGCGATAAGGAGCAGCCCCGCGATGGTGGGTGATGATGGCCCGGCAGCAAGAGGAGAACGTGATGGTGGCGGTGGCGATGGTGGGGGTGGTGGGGGTGGCCGTAGGGGTGGTGGGGGTGGCGGTAGCGGTGGTAAGGACGAGGGTGGCGGTTCAGGGGGTTCCACAGGACACATCTGTGGTTGTGGTGGTTGTAGTGGTAGTAACTGCTGCTCGACTGCGGACGGTTCGTTGTCGTTATCCTGGCCCGGGTGGGATCTGACCGTTATCATGAGCCCACGTGATGCGGGGGGGGGGCAGCAGCGGTTGAGGTCAAAGCGGTCGGAACCAAAGGCGGCGGTGAGAGGGGTTGTATGGGGACTGTGGGGGGTATGAAGGAGCGTTCTGGAAAGGAGCAGTTGAGAGGTGTGGCAAACACCGCACGGGGTGGTGGAGGGAGGGGGGCACATGCCACACGGGAAGGCTTTTGGTGATGAAGCTGGCAGGTTAGGTGTGCTGAGGTGTTCGGAGTGGGAGTGCTGCAGGTGAGGTGCCGAATACGTCCTCACTACCATCAAGCAATAGGCCCCACCCATCCACCTCTCCCACGCAATAGACTATCGCTCACCTGCTGCCACTGCTGCTTCCACTACTGGCCTGATTCTCTGCCTGCCGCTGCAGCAGCCTCAGCGCCACCCAACCGCCGATAGAGCTTCCTAAGGCTCCACGACCGAGTGGCACGACCCATGGGTCGAAGCAGGGCGGGGCGGGGGAAGGGGAGGCACGGAGCAGAGCTCTCTGAGGGTGGTCATCATAAGGTTGATGGAGACCGGAGTCACAGACCGGCCACTGTAGACCTCGGAGCCACAGACGCACCGCCGCAAACAAACAACAAACAGACAGACAGACAAACGGGGGTTGACACACGGTGGGTGAACCTCCTTGGCCTGTGCTGCCTGGTACCCCTTATGCCCCACAACCTGCTATGTGCTGCCGCTGTCATGGCGTATGGTGTTGTAGCGCGACAGCTACACATTAACGAAGTGTTAGTAAGGAATAAGCAAGCATTTGGTAACAGATATGAAGTTTTTTGGCTGCCAACTATTATGGCTGCCAAAGCAAGAATAATACCGGAACCGTTCACCAAATATTGTGTACGACTTTATAACCCTCTGAACTCTTGAAACTACCAAAAAATTGTCCTTTGCACACAGGAACGACCTGAAGGTTAGATATCGTTTGGTCTGGGTTGGCACTACTGCAATTAGCGGTTTAAGGTCCTGAGATTATGGCAAGCTGCTGAGATGTGGAGTTGAGGTCACAGTTGATGGACCAGATTCGCATGCTGGATTGGTGGTGATTGCCGAACCCTCCGTCTCTTCGGGTGTTCGGGTGAATGGATGAGGAGGGGTCCCTGAAGGCTGGATCCGCCGCCTTGGACTTACAGTTCGTATGGCGAAGTACAGTGTGGTAGTGGTGGATGGTGCTATAAGGTGATAATGATCGTAGAACTGACAATGTGATAAAGCGGCCCAGAAGCCTCCCACTCTGTAACATTACAGATATCATATTCTATTCACGATCAGAGCACGGTTTTATATACAGTGGCCGGGCAGTGCCAGCCTGAGGAAGACTTTATTTCTCGACTCTCATTGCCTTTTCCACAACAGAGAGGCGGAGGGACGGACGTGACATCGCGCCTTTACCTTACCTACAAGGATAACCCGCCGAGCGCGAACCACGCGTGTCAGGAGCGCTTCCGCGTCATAGATCCAGTTCTGCAGCCCACAGGACTCGAACTGGCGACCACGAGACGCACCGAATCCCGAATAATCGAAGCACACGAACTCGCAACCATAGGCCGCTGCGATGTTGAACGCACGCCGAACCTTGGCGCTGAGAAAATCATCAGAGCGGCAGACAGAGGCCCCCCCGGGCCCCGGGCCGGGACGGGACGGCACCACACCCAACAAGTGACTTAGCGGGGAAGAGCGAGACGACCACGACAACGATGACGCGCGGCAGGGAAAAGAGGAAGAGCAAGGGCCGATGGATGTATACACACGATAACGCGCTTCAACTATGCAAGGAGGATGGATCGGACGATGAAGAAGTACAGGAAACGTAGGAAACATGGGATGGAGGAGGAGGCGGCGGAGGAGGGGGGAGACCTCACCCTGTCATGTGGCTCTTGAGGCCGTTGCAAAAAAACACGCAAAGTTCCGGTAAAGCAGTGTCCGCGTCTTCACGCAAAAAAAGTGATGCATTTTCTGTTGCGGCCCCTGCTGCTGCTACTGCAGTTGCTGCTATTGCTGCTGCTTTTGTTGATTCCAGAGTTACGGGAGGCGGGGCCGACACGTTGGGGGTGACGGGGGGTGACGGAGGAGGCTGCAGCAGCTTGTTGCGGATGCAGGGCCCATCCCGGGGCTCCAGGGTGGGAAGGTAGTGGCGGTACGCCACACAATGCTTCGCATCTTCGCCATCCGCGTCGTCCCCATCATCCCGGCCTGAACACAGCGGCAGCCAGCGCAGCGGCAGCTCTTCAACTATCAACTCGCCAACAGAATGATAATTGTGCAACTCAAAATCCAAATTCAAGTCACGTGGTTCTGCTGCTCGCCAAGTCTCCCCTGCGTGTCTTCTGGCCAGCGGGGAGCTGTCCGTCATGGAGGCGGAGGACGAGGAGGAGGCGCAGGCGGAGGAGGAGAGCCGGAGTGCGTGGGGGGTGGAGGCGGAATAGCAGCTCGCAGCGGACAAAACAGGCCGCCCCAGGGCCGTGCTGATACCGCCGTCCAGCTGCCGCTCCACAAGCGGCGTCCTGCCATGTAGGCTGCTGGGTATGTAACTTCCGGCGCCGCTGCAGCCGGTACTGCTGCTGCCGCGGCCGATGCACCGCGCGCCGCCGCCTATAGTGGTAGACTGACTGGTAGCAGCAGCAGCAGGTTGGGGATGCCGCAGCCAGGCAGCCACATCCCTAGTGAGGCAGGCTCGCCTCGCAGCACCTGACGCGGGCTTAAGATATCGCGAATGTCGTCGCTGCATCGGAAGTAACATCAGGATAGAAGGCAGATATGCGGTAGTGCGGCTTGTCCGGAAATTTCATTTGAGACGGGAGGATGCCTAACATCCAAACATTTAAAATGTTAGCCTTGGAATTAGCATCATTGAAAGCGACGAAAGGTAACGAAAAAAAGAATGCAAGGAGTTGTTGTAATCCTTCTAAAGATACCAAATTGCTTGATTGGTGGCTTGATCAACGTTGCATGGAGGCAGGTTGGGCCGTTAGATGGCACCTGGATGGCACATGGCCCTTATCCCATTTCCCATCGATGCAAACATGTGTTTTGTTGGGCAGTCGTTAGTCGTCATGGTACGAACACCCTAACCGAACACAGGACCCGGACACCCAGGTACAATTCTGATTCCAGATCGGAGCGGTACAGACAAAGCAAAACCTGCTGTTTCTGATGTGCTGCTCATAGATTGCAACCAAGTGAACGTTTTTCAATCCTACCGGAGGCGCTCGCAACTTGGTAGTGGTCCCTAACGCGACCTTTGGTGACCTAGGGTAAACGCTTCGTGCCCGTAGTGTTACAAAGACGTATAACCGCGTCAGCTCAAATTTCACCCCTAACATTCCGATAAGGTTGGAGCCCTTTCATGCTCTACAGGATAGCCTCTCCCGCCGAAGCCACACACGCACAGTAGGGTCACAACGCCATCCACATCCGTGCGACGTACATGCTTGCTTGTTGCACAGGTTGCACACGGTTGCACCCACCAACAACACCACGGAAGCAGGACAAAGACAAGGCGCTCGCAAAACTTGTCAAGCTACAATACCGTACCACTCTTCCCAAACTCCTGCAACCGATCGCGTCATGACCTATACAAGAGTTCGGAGATTCAAAATTCATGACAAATCCTGCCATACGCAGAAAGCCGCCTGTGCAGAAGCCTGCGGCTGGGAAGGCCATGCACCAAAAACAAAGCAACGGCTAAAGGAATTGTACGCAGCGGCGATGAACCCAGCAACTCCTCATTGCTTGCGCGCATACAGCAAGCTCCTCTAATGCAAGCACGCTATTCGACAGATTCGGTCATTGGGGAAATTGCAGTCAGTGGGTTGCGCAATTTCAAATGATCATACGGTCAGTCGTGCTCCCCTGCTCAAGTTAAAAGACGAGGAACGTTCTGGCATGTCAAGTAAGGAACAGTAATACACAACTCAGCAGGTCACATTCAGGATCACGCAATTCGTACATCGCGGCACTTCAGGTCGTCACCGCGAAAGTCACATCACGGCCGAACTGCCTTCCACGTGCGACGCAGGTTTAGCCGCCGGCAGACAACCACCGAAACCATTCCGAGGCACTTATGTGCAGTGTTTTCCGCCAACCTTCGCAGTTTGCACCGCAGCGTACCGTATCACTGTGGCCATGACAAAACCTTCGGCCAAGCTTATTGTCGTTTCGCTAATTCTGGCCCGCACTGCGCATCCCACTTTCATCATCCCGCCTATTCGCCCTAAATGGAGTAACGTTCGCGGCCTGGTACGCGCCACGAAGCTGAACGGGGCTACTCAGCAGCAACACACAACAGGTACACCGCCAGAACTAGAGCCAGATCAACCCGTCATGCGTCCAGTGGCCGCAAAAGCCCGCATGGAGTGCTGCTCCTCCTTTTGTAATGCGTCCCGGGACTCGTCACCCACAAGCGCGAGGGCTCTGTCAATGGCCACTGCACCCCAGCCGGCGAAGCGGAGCGCAACATGCAGCAGCTGGCTCACGGCCACCTAGACTCGAGCTCGGAAAGACCTAGATAAGCAGGAACCAAAGCGCTTTAAGCGCTGGCGGCCGGCGGGTTCAACAGGCGCCAACCCTCGATCCAGGCCACCATGCCATCCGCAAGCTTGGAGAAGTAAGGGTCGATGTGGCCCAGACCCTTGCGCACCAATTCAGCCAGCTCCAGGTAGCACTGCTCCACGTTGGTTGATGTCTTGCTAAGGGTGAGGTTCTGGAAGAAGGGGATGATTTCCTGCAGACATTTAGGTGGTAACAAGAATCCAGTGTTGATGGCAGCAGCCCGCATTTTCAGACGGCCACGTAAAACAGTTGTGCTCAACGCGAAAAACACCGGCCAAAAATGTTGTAGAGAGGACTGCATCCAAGAGGATTCCCTTCGAGAGGCAACCACTTGCCGAAAATGCGTTCTGAATAGCCTGCTTGGAGCAGGTTGGGGGCTGCTTTCCGAGTACTCTCAACAAGAGCAACACGACCACCCTTAAAGTGGTCAACATGATTCACACATGCCTTATTTACTTCACACATTCCGCATGACGAACTGATCGTTCATCCGTCTCTCACCTCCTGCCAGAAGATGCCCTTGTACTCCTTGCGCAGGTTCACGAAGGGGTTGCTGGCCTTGCTGTGCCACACGTACGGCAGGCCCGTCTTGCAGCCCACTCCCAGATGGTCGCAAATGACCTTGGTGCACCAGCCCGCCCACATGTCATCGTAGCGGCCAATGGGCTGGCCCTCACCCATAAGCCCGAAGTACATGGCCGCTCCAATCAGATCCCTGGAACGAAACGACGATAAATGGACTTAATGGCTTTATTGCATCAGCATCGGAGAAGTTTCAGGCGTGGAAAATGAACGAACAGGTAAGGACATATCACATGGTAGGTTGTGAAGAGGCAAGGCACTGCGTCGAAGATAGCAGACGCAAATATCCCCGGGGCGACATCCCGTACACGGTCATCACCGTTTGACCCAAATGACCTAAATGGTAATACTTGGCAAATGACAGGACTGCGCAAACCGAACACTCTTCTGCGTTGCAGATGCAGCCCAAATGCGCAATGAAAGGAAATGATCCCCTGCAGTGTTAAGCCCCTTTAGGGCTCTTTTGCGCAGACCTTGGACGGACCGCCTGCAAAACAGAATCGACCTTGCGAGCCACAAACGACCCGCCCCTGGCGCAGTGCAATCCCGACCACCGCTGGCGCTGGTTTGGTTCAGCACATTGCTCGCAATGCTTACATTAGCACGCCCTTTCCTTGGAACGCCAAACCAGAGAGATAGACATACCTGTCGAAGGCCAAATTCATGCCGCACATGGGATAGAGGGTGCCCTTGGGCACCGTCATGACGGCGTCAACGTAGCGCTGGTTGCGCTCCCGAGGCTTCACCATCTGCAAGGAGGCCAATCACGGCAAACGGCCCAAGAGACTCAGCAGACCGCCGTAGCATGAATAAGAACAACATTCCACGGCATAGCTACTCTTGCTTTAGCACTTTATGCAGTCGGGGACCTACGACACAACGCTTGCGTACATGCTGGCGTGCAGGTATAGAATGTGGGAATGCATGGGGCCCCCAGCACGTTTGCAAGCAATCCCACTCGTCCATCCTTGCCTGTGTGGGCGCATCGTAGTCGGGGATGTTCATCCAGAGGCCATGGGAGGTGGCAGTGGGAATGCCCTCACGAAGGCTGAAAGGATAACCGCGCACGAAGTCGGCACCTTCGCGGTACGGGTCATACAGGGTGTTGAAGAAGAAGGGCGTCGACGGAGTCAACAGGTTCTTGATGTGCTGCTCCAACACGTTGATCGGCTTCCCGGAAGGATCCTTGGCGACAAAGCAGTCGTCGTCAATCGTGTAGATGTACTTTTTCTTCGACACCATGAAACCGAAGCAACGGCATGCCGAGTCCTTGAACGAAATGGCCCACGCCTTATCACCAAGAATGCGCTCGATATCGTTACGGTTGTAGAGCTCGTAGTCAAATCCTTCAGGCACATGAATCTTCTTCGTAGGGTCGCCATCTTGGACGATGATCAGATGGTAAGGCTGGAAGAAAGGACGCCATTCCTCCAGGAAATCCAGATTCCTACATAAATCCCAGCAACAGCAAACTTATGGTGTTTAGTTGGCATCCTGGGGGAACCGAATGTCGGTCCGATCGGCTGTGGAAAACCAAATCTGACCCTCCTGACCTGATAGTCGGAATTACAATGTCCAGTTGGTCGGCAAGTGGAGCAGACATGTTGTATGCGGCTTGGGGCGAGGCAGTTGCGCACGATCGGGCCAAACAGCTGACAGAACGGGGTGTTACGTTAGGCAAGGCCTTAGAAGCCTATAGAATAATATGACAGAAGGTAGAACTTGAAATGCGCACGCAATAACTGTTCAGGTTCACAGCTATGCAATTTAGGATTATAAAGCCAGTAGTAATCACACCTATGCTTTGTTCCGCATACGTACTAGGATGAAGAAACAAAGACAGTCGGCACAAGCGAAATAGAGGCCACATGCGCGATATGACCCAAACGACAGTTGTGACGTACTGGTACGACCATCGGTGCCCCTGCTGGAAAACTTCATTGGGTGGTTTATTGCCATACTTGTGGCCAACTGTAGCGGTACAATTTAACCCGTGGCGGTCTATCATGCCAGAGTGGTCCTTCTTCAATGTACTCCTGTTTCGTCGCCCGCAAGTCTCATGCAACTTAGGAACAATTCGCTCCTGTTGTTCCTGAGATTCTTCTTGCTCCACAGGCATTTGCCCGTACGTCTACCTGAATTCCTGTCGTGCCCACCGTTTTGCAAACATCTTTGCCCTCATCCCTCCTTCCTCCACGTCTTTTCCGTCCTATTTATTTGGTGTACGTTCAAACTCTCAATGCATAGGAAGGAAACCCATTCGCGTTGCTTCAGCCATCGCGGCGACAGCAGCCGAATTTGTTTACAAGCTCACCCCGTTTGCATCATTTCATAATCTTTTCACTGAATTCAACGTATGATACTTAGCATATGAAAACAAGGGGATCACATCGGGACGCATCGCATTTTAAATCCGCGCGCGGTGCGCCAGCCCCTTCCAGCTGATCGAATAGCAAGCACTCTTGAATCACCCACGCTTACTTTCGAACATCTGCAAAGATTCCAAGATGAACTGTGGAGGTTTATGAGCATGTGCCATCGTGTGGTGGGCGTCGAGCGCCCTTAATAGACTTCCCCGCTTTTGCATTGATCGTTTTGCATCTCCTTGCCAGGACTACAAGCCCGGGAGACGGAAAGGCTTCCTTGAGGACCCACATTCTGCCCCTGTAGCAGCTACTGTCTAACATGCCTTTGTTTAGTTCCCCCACCAGCCGGCTTCCTGTCGACAGACATGTTACAGTAACTAAACCGACAAAACCGGGCGCCTGTTTTACCAACCCTGCACCTACGTCCTCCTGTTCCCTACCGCGGCAAATGGCTACCAAACCCCTCCATGCCCCCGGGGTACGCTCACCACCCTTGCAACATGAATCATGCACATCATTTCACTTGTGGTGGACCGGGGTATCAGGACCGCGCTGTCCACAAGCACACCAACACAGACATATTCCAACTAACCAAAAATAGGGTAGCAATAAGAAGGGAAGAGAGAGATGAACAACCAAACAGGGTTATTACGGAAGGCCTCGAAAGGAAGCCTCCCGTGAAGAAGGCCATAATTAAAAGTAAACTTCCGATCTTGCCATACATAAAAAAAGCAACAACTGCCGCCACGCTGCATATTCACATCCATCCGTCCGTTCATCCACCCAGCCATGTGCATCTTTAATGCCGGTAAAAAACACAAAAAACGTCTCCGGCGTGTGACTCTCAGCCACCACTAAGTACTGTTTCACACCTCCGGCATGCTATCCTGGGCCCAAGACAAGCTGCAATATGCCCGCCCACACACACAGCAGCGACGCTCACCAAGGTGAGATTACTTCGGAGGAGGTGCGGTTGTGGTAACAAACGACAGTCGAATCATATAGAGTCATGTCACATGTAAGGGGATGATGGGGCCAGCACAGCGCACCGAGCCAAACGGGTGCACTTGCACCCGCACACAGCCGCGGCACATAGTCCGAAATTGCAAAACCCAGCGTGGACTGTTATCCACACAAAACAAACACCTCACATACACACAGAGAGAGAGAGAAAGAGGAAACGACGGGGACCTAATCTACCCGACCTAAGTGTATATCTTCAGCTGCAATCAGTCAGGTGTGGGACAAGGACTGACTAACCTGAGAAACTAGCAACAAATTCTCAAACCGACCAAACGAAACGGTGACCCTCCTCTGTCCGGTCATTTTGATTCCAGCGCCTAGGTGCAGCTGCACCACCACGCACTGCCGCGCGCAGCAGCGTCATGAGGAACACACATACGCGCACACTAGCGGACTTGCGGCTCTCGGCTGCTTAGGGGGGGGGGAAGCAGCGGCCCCTCGCGTCCCTCTCCCGTCCGCGGGAGAGAGCTTAGGCGGTCTTTCCGTTGGGGCCGGGCAGCAGTCCCTGTGGCCAGTGCCAGGCCCGGCCAGATACTTGTAACTTTCACACACAGACATACAGGCACACACAGGCACACACACATGCAAACACGCACACGCACACACAGACGCCACTTGTTAATACGCAGTGCGGAAAAAGGTTGAGGTCCAAACGTTCGATAGGTGTACTTTCGCCCCAGCCGTCAACAAACCGACTAAGGACAGGGGGGGGGCTCTTTTCCCCCCTCCCCACCCCACGGCAAGGGGGAAGGAATGGCGGGAAAATGGAACGGATCGACACACACGGCACCACCACCGTGGTGGACAGACAGACAGACATGGAAACGATAACGATATTTGTTCACTCTTTCCGGTGCAGCATGACAATCAACATTCTTTGCAGCAGGGTTTTACTGTGCGCGTGTTGCGCCAACCCCCAATGAATTTTTTATAGCGGAAGATCACCACCGTAAAATATCACCGTTACATTATTTAGACGCGAGACAACGTATACGCTTCCCTGGCCAGTGTACGTCGGAGCCTCTTCCCACCCACCTACCCACCCACCTAGATAGGTAAATACGTGGATCCATTGATGGGTCAGTGGAATATGCCATCTGCCGCATCTCATCTCACCTCACCTATACTTGTTACTCGCTGCTTCGTTGGCAACGCACACACACATCGCAATCGCACAAGAGAACATTTTATTCCCGTAAAAACATCGCGTCATATCACATTCACAACATACCGCTGTTAGCTGTTGGTGTATACCCCGCCGTCCCTTCCCCCTTACCTCACGACGTGTGGAAATCATCCCCGTGGGGCCCCCTCCTCGCCTCCTCCTCCCCCTCCTCCTATGAAAAGTGACCACCCTAAGTACGTCACCGCCATTCGGGACATTATCCTCCAAAAGCCCCCCCCCCTTTTCGCTTCATTCCCCGCCTGGGCTCGAACCCTCGATCTGCAATAACTCGTATCGCTTCAACACGCCGTTACATTTCGGAAGGAAATCAACCAACGAATACGTGCCCCATGCAGAGGACATTTTTAAGCGGCGGCGACATGGCGGTTATGTCCCCCTCCAGCAAAACAAAAGGGTGAACGAACGGACAATAAGCTAGTAGCGAGGTAGCGTAGCCAGATTCGGACCCAGACATCGAAATCTAAAACACCCGGCGGGAGCCACCAGAGCACCGGCACCGGCCACATACATACACACATACATACATACATTCAATAGACAAACATCACCACCCCGCCACATCATCATTTGCTCGCGACCTTGCCCGCCAAGTCACATCATCAAATCACACCACACCCAAGAACACAACACCACAGCCGTGACGCCGGAGAGAAAGCTGCAGTTCGAAACCTCTTTAGCAGCAGCAGCCCACTCCACCTCACCTCACCTCACCAACTACACACACGCAGCTTTCACATGCGGTCGATGCTGTTGTTGATGATGCTGTTGTTTGTTGATTATGGTTACGATGATGTTGATATGGCTAACGATGACTACCACCCACCACCACCACCCTCCACCCCCCAACGCCTCCAACACCTTGCCTCCCTCCCTCCCTCCCTCCCTCCCTCACATGCCCCCCGCGGCTTCCAGTTCCGCAGACCACTTGTTGAAGGAATCCAACAAGTTGTGCAGCTGCATGACGATCGTGTCTACGGAGACCTGTTGATCATCATCAGGCTGCGCGGAGGAGGAAACGCCGCCAGCACGGTCGCCGTACCGGGGCATCGGCAGCGGACTCGCCTCCATGAACACGGGATTCACGAAACCCCCGTGAGGTGCACCGCGACCACCGCGCTCCAAACAAATGCGCGACGGCACCGGCGGCAGCAACGGCGACGGCAGCGGTGAGCACTCAAAGCTGAGACTACTGCAGTCTGTGACAGTCTCCATCACCCCCCCGGCGGCAATGCCGCCCTCGCCGCCACCCATCGAAAACTGGGAGCTTCTGCGCCGGTCCCGAAACCAAAATCCGCTGGCGGGGCCTCCGCCTCCACCACCACCACCTGCGCTGCCGCCGCCAGGGGCAGCGGCGGCGCCTCCGCCTCCGCCAGCTGCTGCAGTGTCCGTAAAGGACGGGGACACCGACCCCGCCGCGGGTCCCTCGGCGCCATCTCGACTGACCCGACTTTGGCAGAACGTCCGCGATGATGATGATGGTGATGATGACGATGATGATACCCCCGCGGCAGCCGCAGTACTGATAGCAGTCAGGTAGCCCGGTAGCGGCCCCAACACCGGATGAACCGCCAGGGGGGCTGGGCCGCCGCCGCCGCCGCCGCCGCCGCCGCCGCCAACGGTGTACGACAGCAACCTGCCACCAGATGAGCCGGGAGCCGGGGACAGTGGGCTCGACGACATCGGCGCGGCTCCAGCAGCGCCCTGATGATGATGGTGGTGGTGGTGGTGGTGGAGCGGGTGCTGCCGGTCGTCACTACGGGTCGCGACGGTGCATCCGGCAGCAGCAGCAGCAGCAGCAGCAGCAGCATGCGGTGCGGCGGCGGGACCGTCACGGCCGTTGAGCTGGGTGACGACGCCATCGACGTTGGCGCTGTTGGCGCTGTTGTTATTATTCGTTTTGTTGGCATCGAGAGGGCTACTGCCGCTTCTGCTCGTGATACCACCAGCACCAGCACCGCCGCCGCCGCCGCCGGGCTGGGGAGATGCCGTTACGCGGCGCATGCTGCAAGGATAGCGTTCGCAGTTACATGGGAGTTAGGTTAGGGTAGTCGCACGGGGTGAGAAGAAGAGTCGTGGGGGGCCCTCCAACTCCCCCGGGGGGCTCTCTCCCACTGCCGCCCGTGCCCCACTGTCCCTCCACTGCACCCCCCGGACTACCCCCTCCTCCTCTGAACCTAGCTAACCACCAACCCCCCCAACCGACTCAAACTCCTCCATTCTCCCGCCCTGAAC